TCCTGTCTCGCAGTGAGACAGGGTAGGAAAAAGTACAGGCAGCAAATACAAGCTCATGTTGTTCTGCAGGTAATGAGGAAGTAAATATAGGCTGAATAAAGATATTTATCATTTATCATATCGAAGATATTATCATTGAAATAAACAATGTGTCAGCACATAATAGGAGACACTCTATCTGAGGATAGGGACAATGGGAAAGGTACCGTGGTTGTAAATACTATAATAAAAGCTAGTCAGGTAGTAATACCTGCACAATGAGGTTCTGAGTGTAGTATGTCTGTACACATTCTGTTGGGTATCTGTGTCGTCTCTCAGTTAATTTACTCTCTAGCTGAATTATTTTAAAGAATAATAGTTCCTGAAGAATTTCAGTTCATTGTGAGTTGTCTGTCTGTGGGCTTTTTGTGTTACTGTTACATTGCTCCATTTAATTGGAGTTTCAACTCCACTTCTTCTACCCGAGGTCTCTAGTTTTTGGTTTCCTAAAAAGAAATGACGTGGAGTGACAAACCCAAAAGGGATTCACTCTTTATAGTGTCTTTCAGCTCCAACTGACTGACAGACATGTACAGTTATCTGGTGAACAGTAAAGCATTTAGCAGATGACGGAGAGCGAAACGTAGAGTGAGTGTTGGACTTACAGTGCTATCTCCCAGGAGACACATACTTAACTCTGTGTGCTGTTATGCTAATGCTCATAATGTCATTAAGATGATAGTGTGTCAGTGTTGTGGCCCCCAGACGTTTTTTTTTTTACTTAGAAAAGATGTAAATATTTTTCTACCACTATTATTTACTCTAGAGGAGCTGCAAAGGTGCCTCTAAATCTTTGTAATTGTTTTGGTCGACCTTATTAGATCCAACACTATCTGTGAAATAATTAATCAGAGCATGCTGTGATCTCCTAAAATTTGCTAAAATGTCAATTTGAGACTTTGTCATTGAGAGGTCACATTAAAGTCCTGTTTTCCAATTACCTTCCTGCAATGAACCTGCTCTTCATCGTAGCTTCCTCTTTTTACTGAGCTGTAAATGGCAGAGCCCAGCGTCCGATTCCCCTTCCTTCAGAGCCATGAAATAAGGTATTTGCAGCACCAGGTTTATTCAGACATTTCACTGTATCATCATGGCAAGACTTTTTTTATTTGATACGGACGCTCTGATAGCATTTGTTTCTACTTCTTCTTCAGGGGAAAAAAGACTCGTGGAGAGGTGATCCAACTGTTTGTCCATTGAGAGCGTTATTGTGTAATGCTAGTGGAGCTTTGCTTTTATAGCGTTCATTCATGTGTCATTCCCTGTAGGGCGAAGTGCTGCGGTTAGGTGAATGTTTCTTTCCTGCCAGCAGCTGGATTTCAAGAACGTTCGGGCCTAGCAGAATACAAGCCTCAGACATGTTGCCTTCCGCAACATTTCAATCGTTCATTAAGAGAGAGAAAGCAGAATACAGCTTCTTGCTGGATATCTCCCTGTTTCCTCTTCCCCATAAGAGCAGAAAATATGACAAGGAAGAGGAAGCAAATGAAGACTGATTGAGGTGACAGATTGGGTTTGTGATGATCTCATGCAGCAGTGTGTTTGTGTGTGTGGGTGTGTGTGTGTGTGTGTGTGTGCAGGGGCAGCTTCTTATTAACAGCCCCAAAGATAATGAGACACATCAGGGAACCCAAATCTGTCTTTGACTTATCAAGCAATAGACTGTAGACAGAAACAAACCTGCAGAATTGTGTTTGTGTGTGTGCATTGTGGTTACTTGGTAAATTAGGGGCAACAGAGGGGGCTTGAGAGATATAATGTTGGCGAAAGATAGGAGCAAAAAAAAATCCATCAGGATGCAGTTTCCCAGAGGAAGAGAGGCTCATCCAGTCAGCTGGGGCTGGACTCGAGTCTGGCATCAGCAGAAGGTAGCTCCTCCTCTTGAGATCAGGCCGCCTCTGGTTGAAGGTTATCAATGGAGAAAAAACATGGAGAGGACCAGGGAACAAGCTGGCAAGAGACAGTGATGGAGCAGTGGAGAGCTAACCTTTACTAACTTTTGTTTTGTGCCTTCCTCTCTCTTCCTTCTCACATTCATGACCTGATCTGAGCTCGTAACTTAGCACCCTTTCTCTCTTTGGCATAAACACTTCTTCAGTTACATGAAAAGAGGAGAAACTGTAACGTTTCACACCTCCCTCGCTCCCTCCCGGTTCACTCACACACACACACACAGATGATAACACACCCCTCGACAAATGCATGTGCGTTCATGACCACACATCCACACCTAATCGTCTTCTTAGGGAGTGAATAATTACTTTGCCAAAGGGCACAACTGTGATCCCTGGCTGGTATTTAAAGCCTTGTCACTGAATTTAAATCACCCCTCCTCTCCATCGCTTCCTTTAGTTAAGTGGAAATGTCCTCTTCTAGGGCTAATACAGAGATCACAGCCCGAACGTCTTCATCATGGCCACCAGCTAATATGCCGCCACATTGCATGACACGGACCGCCGCAGAATTCACTGTCCATCTTCGCTTGTCCTGGTGTCCAAGTCCAAAGTCTTGATTTCAGTGTTTAACGGTGATTTACAGACAATAACCTTTAGTTTTTTCAAGCAGAGGAAGAGAATGCCGACTCGACGGAAGTGTGCTTGCGATTCTACCCCCTTTAACGAGTTGATCCAGTTATTCTTTCCTCTACCCACCATGTTGAGGCCCTAGGCCATCTGTGCTCTCTTCTGCAACGGGCTCCCACTGCCTCCGCCGCCCTCCCGCTGTTTCCTCAACTCAACCCCTCCGCTGCACTCTAATTCCTCCCGCCCCCCCCCCTCACGGCCTCCATCGAGCATCTGTGGCCGCGCGTCTACTCTGTCTGTGAAAGGAGCTGCGAGCGGTTGAGAGGCCGATCCCGTATTTGTCCTCGTCTGATGTAACTCGTCTCGCAGAATGCATGGTGGCGGAGACTTGGCCCACCTGCTTGTCCGCTCTACCCCGGGTTCCATGATTGGGCATGGTGGAGCAGAGAAACCATTAGGATGCTGAAGCATGAAACCGCTTAACGCCTATGTGTGTGTGTGTGTGTGAGTGTGTGTGTGTGTGTGTGTGTGTGAGTGTGTGTGTGTGTGTGTGTGTGTGTGTGTGTGTGTGTGTGTGTGTGTGTGTGTGTGTGTGTGTGTGCAGCAAGCGAATGCGTATATTTCCTTTTACACGTTTGTGCCCATAAGAGCAAGACCATGAACACGCCAACACACAATACAGAATATCAAAGGACATCAAGTGTATTTGAATTCAGCCAGAGTGCAGCGAGGCACGGCGTGACAAATGGCGTGTGGATGGAGAAGGTATCCAGGTAACCAAACCCCTCATCAGCTAGAAGATCTGCAACATGATGTGGAAACAGAGTACATAGTCCTAATGTGTAGTTGTTGGTTATTAAATATATGAAGGTTGGGTTTATTTTTATTGAGCGTATGTAAAAAAGAAATGTATTCACAGAGGCACAGAATTTCATCCCTGAGGGAAAAAGCCCCCGAAACCACATTTACACTATAATGAGACCCCAGACTAATGAAATTTTCAGATGGGTTGGCAGGCTGACCCAACACACATATTCAATATAAAAAGAGATTCAGAGATATATTGGTCATTTAAATGAAAAAATCATTTTAAAAAAGCCGATTAGAAAGCAGAATTGCGCGAGAGATTATCCTTTTTGAAGGGTGGCTGACGGAGAACCTGTATCATATTAGTTACACATGACTGATGAAATCAGATTTTTAATAAAAACCTGCGCTCCGGTTCTGAATATCATCGAGCGGGTACATCAGCCTAATCCTCGTCGATGGGTTTAAAGTGTGAAGAAATGGGAGCGCCGTTCTTGAGCTTCAACTCTGTCAACACTGTTAGCGGGCCGATGATGCTGCTGAGTGCAATATCTACTGTCACAGCCACGTTACGCTTTCTGGTGTAACGTGTCAGGGAGGTCAAATTAATCCCATAATTATCATTCTGCGGGATGAAATTGCAAACCTGCGAGTCGCCACATCCAAAACAAAGTCGTGGGTCGCCATTCCCGCACGTCTTCTCCCGCTTCCCTTGCCTCCTTGTTACATATTGTGTCTCGTTCTCCTGCCACACACGTTTTCATACCTCAAGGTTATTTTTCGGAATGTCTATTTATCATTTTTAGATCTGTGCGCCTTCTCCCGCCTTCTCACGCCATGACTAGTTATTTTGTCAATTGAGTATCGTCCAGCTTTCCATTACTCATGGTGAAGTGCCCTTTCCTGTGTGAGTAGCTCACACTCTGGAATTGTTTCATCTTTTGGAGACAACCCAATGCCTCTGTGCTTCTTGTAGAGACGTACGTCCGTTAGACGCCAGCCTCCCCGCGTGTGCATGTTGCACTACATGTGTCCCCGCTCGTCTTTGACCCGCTGTGCTCCTCGCACGGATTTCAAATTAACCTCAATACTGCTTTCCCCCAAATTAGATTTCCATTCTTCTGTCTACGTGTTGACTTATTTGCCTCCCTTTCATCATCTGCGGCAAGGTTATCCTGAGGCAAGCAGCCCTTTTATGGGAACAAGGGGGCGTAGATGAGGGGTGGAGGGCCCGGCTTTGCCTGCAGCCGTGCCTTAATCGATCTGCTTTAAGGGGAAGTTGTGAGCTGAATGTTTGAACCCGTGGCCTCGTTAACAGTTTTCTGGGATTTAATTAAGAAGTGGTGTGAATTTAATGTCAGTTACGTCTTAAAGTGAGCGGGGGGGTGTACGAAGGTGCTCAACAAGGAAAAAAAGGGGGGAATAGGGGGCTTCTAATTAGGGAAAGGGGCTGTGTTCATGCATCATCCAGTGGAAACGTTTCTTTCCTTTCAACCTCATTTTGCGCTCTCTTCCCTTGTCATCCCCTTTCATTTCTCTCTCTGCATGTATATTTGCGAGCGCCCTCAGCAACACAAAAGTTGCATCTCTTCTTTGCCGTTGGCGATGGCAAACAGTATGCATATGCAAATGTGAGAAAATAGAGACTTTAATATTGTTGACACCCTCTTCCTACATAACCAGATATACGTCTCTCTCTCTCTCTCTCTACAACTGAAGTGGTTTAAGTACTCCTGTGTTCTTTATTGAATTTTAGAATGTTGAAAACCACAGTAATTGCCATCATATCAATCATACAGTATATCATCCACATGACATAGAGAAACAAAACCATGAGGAACAAAACGTTAAAACAGACAACCTCCACTGCATGACCCACATTTAAATACAACTTTATTCAGATCTGAGGACTTTTAGCTTTCATATATATATATTTTTACATATATATATATATATATATATATATAGATGTATATTCATGTAATTTCATGTGGTTGGTTTCACTATTCTTTGCTGAAGGGATCGGGGTTGTCTTGCAGTCTCTAAGGCCAAATATCCACATGTCTCTTGGCATCAGATGGGTCAACAGTAAGGCTGCTGCCATGACAACACCGTCCATCCCACAGCAACATGAGTGTTTGTTAAACTTAGTCCAGCAGCCTTTTGTTTTAACTCACCCCGGAGAGCTGCGGGGAAGGTGGAGTCTCAGTGAGAGTATTGCTGTGAGTCAGAGGGAATCAGTGAGAAGCAGAGTCAGGGGCTTCCTCCCAAAAGCCCAAAACGTGTCTCCTTTTGCTTTTTTTTTTTTTCTTCAGCGCCGTGGGCTCATGTTGCCCGGCTTTGATTCCAACACGTGTGAGAGCATCCCGCTCCCGGTCCGGACGACCTTCCGGAGGCGAGCAGAGGAGTATTGAGGTTACTGAGGCGTATCTGTGTCGGGCACTCCGTTGGCATGCTCTCGAGGAGATTTCTTGTCCTCACAATCCAGGGGCTTATGTAAAATGCTTTGAACAGCAGAGAGGGAGATACCAAGACCAGAACATCTTAAGACTGTGTGTGCGCAAGCATTTGTTTGATGGGATATAGATATAGAGGGAAATAGATAGGTAGAGGAGGAGGGACGGGAGTTATCGCTGCTGATGTTCGGTTGGCTCGGCATTAAGCTCACAGAGATTAGCCAGCTCAGCCACGCGCGCAGGTGGGTGAGGGGGGGCTGGGGGGGATAGGGGGGGTCGGCCGTGAGGAACTAACCGCTGCGGGGTTCAACGCCAGGGTGAGGGAGGTAGGGAGGGTGTGGAGGCTGAGGCCGGTGGGCCGGGTCACACACGGGGAGAAGGGACCACCGTGCGAAAGCGGCTGAAATGATGTGAACGAACAGAGCAAGAGGCAGTGGTTCATTCATGCTGGGAGATGTGGATTTTACAGGCTCGTATCTCATCCAGCAGACAGGACCTAGATCTAAATCGCATGTTCCAATTGGACTCTATACATATTGTCAAATGAATACTGCATCACTGCGAATCTGAATCTGCTCACAGTGTGCCTTCTGATTGATGGTAGCCTCTTCAGGAAAGTCTCGATTTTTTCTGCAAGACGCCGCATAAAACGATCAACATGCAACAGGAGACGTCATCATGGCTGTCTGTCCCCCCCGGACGGACTCGCACGCTGCTGCCATGTGCTCTGGGCCGCAAGTTAATATGGTCACAAAGCTTTGATTTGCAGATTTTACAGTTCTTAGTCACTATCTTTAGCCCTACCACTGTTTCGCCCTGCTACTCCCGCTACTGAATCTCACACACAGCAGCCGAGGCGATGCAATCATATCTGGCCTCAAGCCTCCCCCCCCCACTGCCCACTCCCCTGGGTCCACCTTTCTGGACATCGCCAAGAGTTCACAGATCCTGGCCAAATCCCCGACTTCACGGCGCGTTAGCATCAAACCGGCTACAGTTTAATAAGAACTCTTCACACCTGTCTTGAGACTGCTCACCACAAAAAGTAACCGTGCCCCCTCGCCAAGAAAATGCCAGGCAATAATTCGTGGCTCCATCGTGCACTCCTCTCCGCTGGTATTGTTTTTGAGAGCAACATGAGACGTGGCCAGCCAGTAGCCATTTATCTTAATGAGAGCAGTTAACTCTGGGCCGAGCTTTGGCTGCCGGCGTCGCACGAAAAATAACACCACCGCGCCCGAGAAACATCCTCTTATTCTCCTGCTCGCCGACTTCTAGGAAACACATCTTGCCCTCTCTTTGAAACCTTAATTAGTTCTAAAGGAGATTAAATTATATGTAATTATTATGATAATATTTTCATTTATTCAAGATAATGGGCCGACTTTAGAGAACACAGTATTTGTCGGGAGAGAGCAATGTGCCTCACACAGTCAAAGTTATCAAGGCGTGAAATCAGGAATCCTGACGGCAACAAAATGTAATCTTTTTCATACAGAGGGGACAATAGAAGGAGCTGCATACTCCGAGTCTCCTTCTCCACTTTAATTAAAACAGCTCACTGAATCTCTCCCTCTCTTACTCCCCCCGCCTCTCTCTCTCTCTCTCTCTCTCTCTCTCTCTCTCTCTCTCTCTCTCTCTCTCTCTCTCTCTCTCTCCCTCACTTCAGTATTGAGGGCCAATTTTATCTGTATGCAGAATCTCGTTATTTCCCCGCGCTGAACTTGTCTTAAGCCCTTACCCGGAATATTTGAATTGCTTTTTCTTGCACATTTTCCCCCCCTTTCCTCCATCCCTCTTTTAGTGAAATGCAGTAGACATGACCAAAAAATACTCGGGGATTTGATTTGGAAGGCAGCTGGTAAGAGGAGCCTCTTTTGGGATCGACTCAAAGTTCACACCAAAACAGCCGACCTTTAAAAATACTGTGATGTAAACCTAAATGATTGTGTGGCTGGTTGCACTCTACATTCATCTTTGTTTTTGTCATTTACAATGTGTGATGTGAAACGCCGTAATATGTTTGTAATAAGTCTGAATTGGTATACAACACTCCAGTGACTCGCATCGCACCATTTAAATGAACGCTTTCACTGGAAAAGCTTCCCCTGTAACTTTGCAAAAGAGAGCGATATAGTAAAGGGCGATTAAAAGGATATTCAGACGACATTCACAGATGACTTAATTGAAGGGACAATCAGCTGGCGAGAAGTTGGGATTTAGAAACTGGATGGAATGTAAGAAGGTGCGTTCATTAAATGGACAGTTTTCTCTGCCGGTCCAGTTTATGAACGCTGCACTTACGCATTCCAAACACCTCATCATATCTGCGTACTGTCGTTTTCGTTTTGCATATATGTTTATACATCTTACATTAGTCAGGCTACAGAGCGGGTTCTAATTTGAAGGTGTCCTGCTGCCACGATTCGCATTAAGGGCGATTCACAGTCCTGCTTTTCTCCTCACATGTTGCAGTCACTCCGACTTGCCCCCCCCCCCCACGTCATTTTCCTCTACCTTCCCACCTCTCTCACCCCCTACAAGTCTAGCCCGAGGGCAGGTAGGGCAGCTCGTTATGGTAGTTGTAGTCCGGGCAGACCTTCTGGACCAGGCGGTAGTCCGTGCTGTAGAAGGAGATGTAGATGCAGATGACCTTGAAAGGCTTTGAGCAAATCCAGGACACGTGGCTCTGGATCTGCTCCTGAAAGCAGGTCTGGGACGGGTCGTAGTTGCACAACGAGGTGCGCTTGCTGCGATCCACCTTCTCATAGTCCACGCGGCAGTTGAAGATCTTTGAATCCTTTGGGTAGACCACGCTCTGGCGTTCCAGGTCAAACTCCACCGCCTTGACGGGTGGAACCAGGCTGACGGAGATGTTGCCCTGGCCCGTGGAGTTGTGGCGGAAGTAGACGCTGAACGTGCCGTTGCCGTGGTCCACGATCTTGCCGGTGATCAGCAGGTTAAGCCGCACGGTCTTGATGTTGGAATAGAAGTCTCCCCAGCCGAACATCTTCTTGAACTTGCCCGTCTTGACGATGGGCCGGCGCTTCACCCGGGAGCTGGAGGCGTCGGGTTTGAGCAGGTCGCTGCCTAACATCTCCCAAAACTCCTGTTTAGAAAACTCCTGCTTGGAGAAAGGGACCGGGGAGCGGTAGGGCAGCTCCAGAGAGGTGGTGTTGGCGGCCCTGCTCTTACTGTGAAGCATCCAGCGGCTCAGGGGCGACAGGTGAGCCTGCCCGCTCAGTAGGCCCACGGTTTTGGAGGAGTCGTCTGAGGAGCTCTTGGGGCTGGAGGGGTCGTCTTCTTGACCCAAGGCCACCTGGACAGAGGAGGTGGAGGTGGGGATCGAAGGAGAAAATAGAGAGAGAAAGTAGTTATAAGCAAAGTAGAAAACGTGGACAGAAAACAAATGAAAGGCTTAATCGATACTTAATTTACTGCTCACACCTTTCGTGGCAGTAACCGTGACATTCTATCAATGTTATATATATAAATAACTTGTTGAATTTCTGCAGGTATTGTTATACATCCCTTTGTTTAGCCTGACCGTGAGGGAAAATGCTTCTTTATGTCTAGTTTTCACAGAGCAAATGTGATTCCCGAAGCTCCCTAGTAATGGGATCTTATGCCTCCTTTGAGCTACTTGAGGCCAGAGGGATCAAAGAAGTAATTCAAACTGAAACTCCACAACGAAACTAAATTCATATAAAGTGCGTTACTCCTGTGGTCTTTGGCAGTTTAATCAATATTTGTGAGGGGGGACGATTTTCTAAAAAGTCTATAATCCTGTAAAACACTAAAGTTCCCTTTATTACAAAGTGCTTTTTAAGGTTGTTTCTCACACAGGTTTGAGGTTGATTTACTTATGAAGTGTCTAAAACACTCCATTCCCTAAACTCCTTAGGTACCATTTGAACGTTTCATCTCATTTTCAGTTAAATAAAGTCACACAAGGTCACTTGAAGATCATCTCATTGAGTGTTCATGTATAAAATGTTAAAGGAAGATTGTCAAGTAGAGCGACTCCTTTGCTTCTTTAGCTCTTTAGTCTGAGAATAGGGGGAAATCTATTAATACCGTTGAAAGATTTGGTCAGAGGATCAAAGTGTTTGTGGAAGGGGAGGTGGGCTAGCGGGGGGGGGGGGGCGAAGAATAGAGCGGAAGAGTAATTAAGACTTTTTTAATTAAAGGAAAAGAATCTGTATCGGCACACACACAAAGCTGTCAGATGTTAACATCTGCTGAGGGGAAGGAGAGGGGAGATAACACACGGCTGCTGTGCTCAGCAGTCGATTTGTGAAGAGGGTATGAATGTAAGAGCAAGGTAATGGGTCATTATTCAACGGTAATGGTCTGTAAACAGGTATCTCCTGCCCCGTAAAAAGTCCACAGCATTATTGTGTCCCTTGGACATCGCAGTGGAAAACACACACGCACACACACACATAAAAGCATACACGTCACTTTTGAATTTTGAGTTGTAAACGTGAACAATAAGTGGTGCAAATGCGGGATGAGCTTGTGTATGTGCGCACTACCCGCAGAGATTCTAAGACGATGCATAATGCATGCACTCCTGTCTGTGCTCTGATCCGTCTACTGTCTTGACTGCAAGGGCTTCCTTATACAGGCTTAGACAGGATTATTAAGTCTGACTCATTTCTATTGCATTTTATGCAGGTTTTTCAATCCGGCTCAGTTTTGTTCACTTGCGTTGCAGTCAGTCAGCGGTATTGATTGTCAGTCTCTCTAAAAACATGTATTTCCTTTCAAAACAACGTGCATTGCATTTAATTGCTTCTGCGAGGATTACCGCTAATGCCGTTGTGGTCTGGAGTTTGGACTCGGATTAGAAGAATCCCCCCCCAACCCACCAACCCCGGGCCACCCCACCTCTTCCTCTAATCTGAGCCTATTACACCGAGGGTGTTAGGGACAGAACTGTCTTGAGGAGGACTCAGATCATTCTCACGGCAGACTTGAGAATCCTGACGTCATTAATTATGAACAAAACAATTTCACGAGGTGAAGACGTATCGGTTTTATACTTTTCAGATTAGTCTTTTTTTTTTAAACATAGCGCATAAAGCTTTGCAGGGGCTTATACTGAATAATGAGTACGGCTGGCCTTCCTCTCTTTTGCATAGTCTTCATTAGAAAGCCTCAGAGGCCAGGCTGCAGCAGAGGGACGAGTGAGCATTGTGCTATTGTTGAACAGAAGATATAAGTGTCTTGCACTGGTGGAGGTGTCAGATTTGCAGCATCGTTGTCATAATAAAAATTTCAAAATGAGCGTATACTGACTCTGAAAAAAATACTTGAAAACACTGTGTGGTCGTCCACACCTCCATAAAGCTTTTTAATGCATTTGTGATTTAATTTCTGCATGTAAAATGTCACTTTTTGAGACTTTACGCAGGTGTTCGAACCCTTACGTGATCTAGTGGACAATCAGTGCATCTGGGGTCACAGGGGTCATATGGTCTACCTCTGAGACACTTTTCATGATTAACTATTACAACAATCATTAGTTTTACTCTCCACCCAAAAACTGCATACTGCCACAACTCTCTCGCCACTCTGCATTTAACTGGGGAAGTATATGAGGTGTAAGATTTAACTATCAGCATGCTTCCCTCCTCCCACTGGTGCGGGGTAAGCAAGTCGAGGTGGCGTAGACTCCAGAGTTCATCTTTTTTAACAATGTTACGAGATGAAGGCATTGCCTCGCTGAATGTTCTCACATTTTCGCACGCACACGACAACATTGTTTTGTTAACAGCTGAGCACTAATGTGGTGTGCTTTTTAAGGTGTTCCTACCACCCACATGCCTTAATATTTAAAGCATAGTCCACAAACTCATCCCTTTGATGATGAACCTTAAAATGCTATCGTCCACAGAGTGCAGCTTTAGTGTCCAATGTGGTTCAGTTTGGCACACTAACACGTACACACAACGACGTTCATGTAACAGTGTGAAACGTAGCCTCCAAAGTGCAGAACAAGGTGCCTTCAGAATAAGTTTTGTTTTGTTTCATGAAGCTTGGCAAGATGTATCCCGGCTTTAAGTACTGTTGGCAAAGTGTGGGCGATGGGCAATCAGGTCGTAGTGAGGGGGCGGAGGTTCGGGTGATTTTGTCATTTGTCATGTGCGCTAAGTGAGTCAGTGAAACGGCTGGAGAGGATGGGAGGTGGCTGCAGGCTCCGTCGCCGTGGTAATTGTGAGTCATTCAGCCTCAGTGAGCACAGGCCGCAGGCCTCTCTCCCAGCGGGGAGTGTGGGGAGGGAAACGATCCTCACAAGCCTGCCAGCTCCACAGGCCATAATCAGCCTGTTACAGTGACAGGTACACCGCTTTAACCCCCCCCCACCACACCTGGTGACAGAGGCCCACTACGGCCATAATGCAGCAGAGGGATCAGGGAGCCGCTTTGCCAAAACCATCGCCGTAACTCTCACGGAAGCAGCGGAAGGGCGACGGACCAGTGTGTCCCCCAAAGGATGTTGTTGCTCCTACTTCAGGGTGATCGTTCAGACTTTACTTGTTAAGGTTCTGGATCCGAGCGAGGCTTTGCCACCACCCCACCAAAAGCTCCGAACTTACTGCTTCAAAGACGTTGAGCCTGAAGCTGAAGAAGTTATTGATTAGTCAATGAATTAAAGTATCATTTAACTGTACTGTACTGGAATACAAATGGGTAAAATGACCATGCTTATGGTGAAATTTGATTTGTGAAAGTGATGAACCGACAGCCAATCGTCATCTGACTTTAGAGCTCCCCTCAGATCGACGGAGCATTCGGGTAAAACTTTCACCACTGGTGAAAAGTATTCAGGAACCATGTATTGCCATTAGTTGGTTGAGACCAGAGCAGAAAGAGAGCAAATATTGGATTTACACGAAGTGGACTTCTCCACATGAATTCTAATGTTACTCTGTAAATAGACAAACGTTTCTACGTCGTATTCATTTAAAAGGTGCTATTGTATTTACAACTCGTCTACGCTGCCTCCAAGTGGTCAAAAAAACATATTTTGCAGATTTGATTTGACAAATTAGATTTTGACTTTGCCCCAGAAATGGTATTTACATTGTTGTAGTGTATTAATAGAGTAATGCATTATATATTTATTTCACAAATGCACTTTACATTGTGCATTACAATAAGCACTGATTAGGTCAATGTCCAGGAAAAAGACGTCTAGCGTAGATAAAAAATGCATTTTATATGTTGCAACATTTGAATGCTTCGGTCATGAAGCAGGTTACATGTAATGCAATTCAAGATTTATTTAAGCTTCAAACTATTTGGATTCTCAGCTTGAAATTGTATTTTTAGGAATTTGTAATCTGGATTAAAAGAAATGAACTCATTAATACAGATAAATCTTCCCGTAGAGCCACTGAAAGCATGTGCTTGTCATGAGGATCTGAAGTTCAATAAGCACTCCTTTTTTCTTTAGCGGTTGAGTTAAACATTTTCTTCATCTCTAATATGGCATAAATCTTTTTTTCATAAAGACTCAGGCAGCTCAGATTTCTTCAGTAATGTTTTATTCCCTTTTCCCCCTTTGTCTCCTCTCCTTTTCCCAGATTTCAATATGCTCCGTTACATGATTAAAGTCAGAAAATGTCTTTGCCCTTTTAACTAATTCTTCTTCTTGCTAGTTTACATCCAAAAAGGGCTGACGGAGAGAAAGTTAATTTCACAAGAAACACGTCGTTTGACCCTTAATGAATGATTTATTTACGGCTTCTTGGGCTTCACTGGAGCTTAAATCTACAGTCGGCGAACAAAATCAACCTTTTTTTTATCCTAAACTTTTGTCCCAATGTCCTCTTTCATCCTCCACCCTCTTTCCCAGCCCATTTTGGGCAGCGCCAGCTATGTCGTCCCAGGGGAGCTGGGCTCATTTTGTATGCTCCGAGAGAAACCGGGCTGGAAAATGGCTGTCAAACTTTTTACATTACAGAATATTGACAGTTTGACGGTTTGAGCGGATTAAAGCGCTGCTACAGCATTCAAACGTGTCTAGTAAAAGCTGAAAGGACGCTGCTATTGGAGATTCGGGTACGAGAAGCTTCGATTGAATGCTGTTTTATCAAATGTTTATTAATAATTTAATGCCATAGTTCTTCATATTGGATTTTGACCGTTCTCCTCACCAAAAAAAGCCCCCCAAGTACTGAAAGGCCGTTGGTGGTAAACTTCAAATGACTGTGAGGTTGACAGATGCGTTGATGTTTGTACGATGGACATGAATGCAAAGCATCTCTCGTCACTCTGAAGGTCTGCTCTACATTTTTCTCTTCGACA